ATCAATGAACAAATGGATAAAGAAAATGTGGTATATATACACAATGTAGCTATTCAGTCCTAAAGAAGAATAAAATCATGGCATTTTCTGAAAAAAATGGATGGACCTGAAGAACATCATTCTAAGTGAAATAAATCAGATACAGCACTAAAAACACATGTAACAAAAGCAAACAGAGACAAGTGGGACTATATCAAATTTATAAAACCCCTGTGCAGGAAGGAAACAGAATAAAAAAAAATTGCTAGACATTTATCTGATAAAGGATTACTCTCCAAAATATATAAGGAATTCCTGTAACTCAAGAGCAACAAAACAAGAATAAGAGGAGGATGGGGAAGAAGAAAAAAAAACAATTCAATTACAATACAGGCTATGGACTAAGAACTTGAATAGTTATTTCTCAAAAGGTGACAAGGAAGGGCCAAATGATGCAAATTGAAATCATAATGATTTATCCCTTAGCTGTGATAAAAGAAATAACAGCAACAAGTGTTGGCAATGATATGCAGAAAAAGAATCCTTGCATATTAGCTCCTATGGCTAAACAGTACAGAAGTTTATTAAAAAAATTAAAAATAGGACTGCCATAAAATCCAGTATTCACATGTGTGGATATTTATCCAAAAGATTTGAAATTGAGATCTTGAAGCAATATTAACACTCCTAAGTGTAGTGCAGCACTATTCACAATAGTCAAGATGTGCAAACAACTTCATATCCTTTGATATATAAATAGATAAATAAAATAAAATGTTACAATGGAATATTATCCATACTTTTAAAAAATAAAATTTTGCAGTATGTGACAGTATAAATGAACCCTGGGGTCATTACCACTAAATGAAACAAGTCGGTTTCATAAAGTTTCAATATTTCAATATACTTATATGAAGTATCTAAAGTAGTCAAATTCACAGAATATGGCTTTTGACCATTTCCATGTTATCTCTACAGAAATGTGTATCTGAATTCTTAAGCTATTTTTTTAATCAAGTGGAATGAGAAGGAGTTGTGTTCCTGTTTTTAACCTATTAGAAAAAAAATGACAAGTGGTGATATCATTGGTGTTCATGGAGATGCAGGGAAATGAGCATGTTCATCATTATAATTTCTCAGTATATATTAAATTATAAAATGCTTATAGTTATGATCCAGCAGTCCTATTCTAAATTCAGTAAGGTACAGAAATAGCAAAAGTGTGAAAAGGCAAATATACAAGAATGTTTATTACTCATAACATTGTACATTATGACAAAAATAAATAAAATTTAAATATTCATAGATACAGCAATGACAAAACACGTGGTGGTCACCCATGATGGTAAACAAGAAATGCCAAAAGTACTATGAAATGTAAGAAATATTTAGGCAGAAGCCCATGACACACTGTTAAATAAAAGTAACAAGCTGCAAAATAATAGGAATATTATGATTCTAATTTTTAAAATTTATATTTCCACATATGTTTTCTAGAATGATAAATATGAAGCTGTTTACAATATCTGTGAAGTAGATCTAAGAGAGGGAATATTTTCTCTTTTTTTTGATATACTGTTTTTCCAATATGCTATAAGCATGTATTACATTTGTGATTTAAAGGACTGCTCTGCCTGTATGCACAAAGGCTGTCATTTCTGGTATATAACCAATGAAAAGAGACTTGCTTTTTCTGAGTTAGGCATCTTCCACTCATTGACTCATGAGCCTGTCTTCTTCCACATTCTACCCTCTCAAACACCTGAAGACAGTAGTCATGTACCTTCAATCTTTTATCCAATTAAACATCCCAACTTCCCTCATGAATTCCTTATATGAGTAGTTATCAGTTTCAATACACTGTTTTTGAATGTCAAGAAACATTTGCACAGCCTCCATCTGTCTAGAACAGTTGAGTGGGTCTATAATCACCTTTATTTTGAAATGATTTCAACAAATTCCTCAAAGGTCTTAATTAGTCTTCTGGCAACCACACAAAACTGCTAATTAAAAACTCAGCATGGGGCAAGAGATTCATAGAAACGTCACAATTTTTTAATAAATCTAAAACTTCTGAAAAATAAAAGTCACTAAATAAAATGATACAACTACAGATACAAAATGTAAGTCAAGATAATATTTCCCTCAGAAGGTTCAAAATGCACTTTTTGTATCCTGAAGCAATTTATCTAAGTGTGACATCTGAGACATGTTATTTTTTGTTGGCATCTGGTTAGGCCTTATATTCTAGTAATTTCACTAAAATCACTAAAAATGTGATACAACAAACAGTTTTAACAATAAGTTTATAAAAACATTTCATTAATATTCAGAAAAACAATTGTACTTTCTCTTTTTTTTAAAGAGAGAGAGAGAGAATTTTTTAATATTTATTTTTTAGTTTTCGGTGGACACACATCTTTACTTTTTATTTTTTATGTGGTGCTGAGGATCGAACCCAGCGCCCCGCACATGCCAGGTGAGCACACTACAGCTTGAGCCACATCCCCAGCCCCAATTGTACTTTCTTTAAAAGTTAAAAAGAAAAAAGCCTGACCAAATTAAATTTTGAATTTAATTCAGGTTTATTACTTTAAATTCTAGTGATATATTAAAATTTAATCAATTTAAACTTTGAACTATTTCACAAATATAAATATCTCCAAAACAAATTTGAATTCATAAAAGAAATCCATAGGAACAGTCTTGTTTTTTAAAAAAAGAAACATCTAAATTTGGTTCCTATCTCTCTCCTTTCTTTTACATATATATGTTTTTAGATATTAATGGACCTTTATTTTATTCATTTATTTATATGTGGTGCTGAGAATCAAATCCAGTGCCTTATACACTCTAGGCAAACACTCTACCACTGAGCTACAACCACAGCCATAGTTCCTATATCTCTTAACCATAATGTTTAATGTACATTCATCTGAAAAATTAATATTTCAGTAATATATTTCATATTTAACCTGATATGTTTTAAAAACAACTATGATATAATTACCTTAGATAAGTGTTTGTAGATAAGACACATAAAATATCACGATAAGCCTGTGAATAAAATCAAATCAATGAGATTTTTCTAAGGAACACTGTAACATTTCAAGTGCTCTAATTAGTTAATATAAACATCCTAAACTAGAAAGAAGGGTTTTTGAACATTAAAATGAGTTCTCAGGAATAGTTTAGTCCCAGCTCTGCCCTAGGCAAATAACTTTTTAAAATTATAACTTCTGATGTTATTAGAAAAAAAATGTTTTAGAATAAATCTTAAGTTCTACTTCAGCTCCAAAATTCTAACTTTTATAATGTGGATAACTAGTTTCTAATATTGTAAGTTTACATTTTTATTGTGCCAGGGAGTAGAGTAGGAGTGTATTGTTATCTACAAAGGAGTCAGCTTCTTCCATGTATTTTCAGAGACTATTTTATCTTGGCCTCTCTAGCAAATTAGGAATCAAACAGTCACTTTCTCTACATATCTATATTCCTATTTTTTCTTTCCCATCAACTTTATAGTCTATGTGAAACAGAGGAATGAGAAATGTGGATGTGGAAATTCCTTAGAGAAGGTGTGCAATTTGACTTCCAACAGGACCATAAATAGTATTGTGGTAGAGAAATCATGTTATTGCTTTAAAATCTAAAATAAATACATGACTTGTAGCAAGACAATTGGTAAATAAACATGATTCAAAATTGCTAAATAGATACATAACCCTAGGAATTTACTGTCATTAAATAGGCTCTTAAATAAACCACTCCCAGACCAAAAACATCTGCCAGTGGTATTTTAAAGATTTATTTCTTTATTATGATATTATTTTCCTCTGCCGTGAAGACAGTGAACATGTAAGAAAGAGATTTTTAAATGACTATACAAATTTTCCCTGTGTGTCTCAAGATTTCTTTGAATGTGCTTTATATTTGGAAGATACTAAAGCTACACTTTACTTTGATTTCATACCACATGTTACAATTAATAATCCTTTAACTTTTAATATGATTAATTTTGCCACTTTTCACTCCACAAGACTATTCAAGACAGATGTGGGTGTGTTTTATTTGTCCAACATACCTACAATGTTAATGTAGGTCTTCATATATAGTAAGAGATTGATAAAATCTTTTGAAAGAATAAAATTTCTTTAATAATGTGTCTTTCTACAACAAAAGTATAATACTATGTAAAGTAAGACCTGAATAAAAATTATTAGAAAGATAAAAAATAATTCTAAAAATAGGAAGAAATTCTGAGAAATTAGCATTAATCTATCATAATCTTTATCTTGAACCCCAAAACAAGTAATAAAATTTTAAAAAATACCTTTTTAAAGATAAAATAAGTAATCACCAAAACAATTGGAAGCAATAATGTCTTTGTGTATCTCAGTGGAGTCTGAAATATAGTAAATTATTAAAAAATAGTTATTTATTCAAATTTACATTGTTAGTAAAAATCTATGTCAAACTGAATGCAATGAGGATATTTCTTAAAGGTAAAATATCATTGTCATTAGCAGAATATATATGTTAATCAGCTGTCACATTCCAATGCAAGAATGAAAATTATAAAAATAGTTAATACTAAGTGTTCAAAAAATTAATTAAAAACTCTTAAACCTAAGTTAGTCCTATAATATTGTCCTTTCTTTTGATTTTTTTCCTTATTTAATAATATTAAGTATTAACATGTGAGTCTACTGATGCCTAGGCCACATGCTGTCATTTCCTATACTGCAAAGTTCTGTTACTTTCATTAGTGAAACTGGAGCTAACAAGGAGGAAAACTAGCCAAAGTAATTACTAAAAATATGAATGAAATCAGAAACAGCACATCAGGTAGATATTCTCATGACCTGTTCTTGTGATATGGAGTGATTTGCTGTGTAATTAAATTATATATTTCTTGAAAGCAAGAAGAGCAAGGTCATTTTCCTCTGTATTCCCACAGCAAACTTCCTCACAGATACTTAGTGGTCAATAACCATTTTTCAATGAATATATGACTGGTTGGAGGAAAAGAAAATAATGTAAAATTTCATTATTACATTGACCACTAATTATTAGACAAGGACTGATCCAGTGACAATTTCTTAATTGTCTTTGAAGAAAAAAATTAAGCCTCAGAGAGAGGAAAGAAAAATAAATTGGGAGTTCTAGGATCCAATTAGAACTCACAAGCTTTTCTTTCTGCATCTGCAAAAGAAAGAATTATATTACACAGTTTCTAAGATCCTTTCCTGCTCTGATTTTTCATGATTCTATGAGAAAGCAAATATTTTAAAGCTTAACAATTTGAGCTTTTTTAAAGGATAATGCCATGAACTTTATATAAAACTTGAGCACTTTTAAAAGATAATACTTGAATTTCTAAAACTTATAATAAATTTTATACATTTATTAACTTATTAATAATATACCTTTTTGACAATAACATGTTAAAAAGTTTCATAATATTTGAAGTATTTTTAACTTAAGATAGGGACTATTATTTATTGATTTTACAGATCATATGATTAACAAAGTTATAGTTAAAATGATATAGTAAGTAAGTTGGGCATTTTTTGTGTAAAAGTTTGGAATTTCCGATTAAAGGAAAAACTAAAGAGGTAAAAAATAAAGAAATGTTCATACCGCTTTTTCCATAAAGTCAAATTCAGGAGCACAGGTATACACTAAGGTATCGAAATCTGTATACCCTAAGATTCTGGCTGCTATAAGGTCACTCAGGCGAATCTGGAAAAAAATAAAGTAAAATGAATTAAAATTACACAAATAATTATAGTCGGTAATAATTTAATTTGATGTGAGAGTCATGAAGTCTACAGAGCAGATAAATCCAAGATACATAGATGTATCTAAAATGCAGTAAATCAAATGTACTATATGCTGACTTATCAAGATAAACTGAAAATAAAGAGAAATATCAAGTGGAAAAAAATGAGAAAGAGGTCAGAGAAAAATAAGCAGAGAACATAATAAAGCTAAAATCAGCCCTTGTTGGGAAGAAATGACTATGCAGTTCAAAATCATGAGATTTTATAATCAGATAATTTATTATTTAAAAGGTTAATTTCACCCCAAAGATTTCATTTCACCTTTCACCACACAGTATAAATCATAAACAAACCTTCTGTGCACTGTTACTTTCACAAAGCCTCAGATGCTGATTATGTTTGGTATTTCTTCACATTTTTTTAAACATACAGTTGAGTCATTAAATATGAAAGCTATTCCTCATAAGAATCAGAACAATTATATATCTAGATTTAGTTACTTGCTCTTAAGGCATTAAAATTATATGCCACACACAATCCCACTGTGGAGCTCCTATTATCTACTAATGATTTATTGTCTACAGTTGGTGAGACAATTATTTTTGCACTGAATTCTTAAAAGACCAGAAAAAGAAAAATATTTGGCACTAAAACCCTAATTCAAATTATTTGATAGGGACAGAAATTGTTTATACCAAGTTGATAATTATGAGTGTTTCATGTTCATTCACTGTTCCTCCTATCTACCACTACCAAAACAAATTTAGAATTGCTCTTTCTTTTTCCAATTCTGAGTTTATCCTGGTGGCTAAAAAGAAGTTAATCAAACCACTAGAATTTCAAGTTTTTCAAGTCCTCATTGAAGACTACTAAGGGAGGATACATTGTTTCTTGTAAAGAGTTGGGTGACAAAAAGAAACAAAAATCAGAGACCATCTCAATTGACAAATAAATAACTTAGAAGGCCTAAATAAACTTTATCATAAAATAATCTATTAAAAAAGTTAATAACAATAAAAAGGAAGGGTACAAGGGAGTATGTCAAATATATCAGACAGCAGCACAACAAATAAAACTAATAAATCACCATTCAAAGTCAGCAATAAATAGTAAATGAATGTTTACATTTAGAAATTTTATTTAACATCAAAATGTATGCATGTTTTATTGGATAGAAACAGTAGTTGGCTTTTTAGAGAGGAAGTACCATAATCACTTGCTCCAATTAGCATAATTTCAATATTAGAGAGGGCCCTTATTGGAAAGTATTAAGTAAGGTGAATTTCATACATTATGGTATGATATGATCATGTATGATTATTTCTTAACGAAAGTGCTATAAATCAAATGTAACTTTATGCATTGTTTTCTATTCCATAAACTAACTAGTTAAGTAGGGACTTAGGCCTAGAAAAGGACCATCGCTTAAGATATTAGCTTTGAAAAACACATAAATAGCACACAAGAGATAAGACTCCACATATATTTTTAAAAAGCTTATTCCTTTTTATTTTTATTTTTTAGTTGTAGATGGACACAATACCTTTATATCATTTATTCTTACGTGGTGCTCAGGATAGAACTCAGTGCCTCATACATGCTAGGAAAGTGCTCTACCACTGAGCTACATACAATCCCAGGCCCTCCACATATATTTTTTAAAAGTTGAAAGACTGAGAACTTTTAGCATTCTCTCTTTATATAACCATTAAAGATTAAAAATATCAAATCCTAGCTTAATTTAGTCCTTAATTATCCATAAATAAAACCACATTGAGATATTTAGTTCTGTATTTTGAAGCCAAGTATAGACTTCAATGTTAAAATCTATAAAACACGAAAAAACATTTAAATGACTATATGTATTTTACCGAAAATATTATAAATAACTAAACAAATTATTAGTAATCTTTTCTTTCCTAGAAGACTGAGTTAGCAATCACTGATACACTTTTTTCCTAGCTGATGCAAAGACCATTGATCTGCAGGACTTTATTAATAAATCTGCAAATAAATAGTCCGGGAACCTTAAAGAAATGGGATTCTCTGTAAAATGAAGAGAAAAGAATAGATTGTTTTAAGGTTTTAATGCAGCTACATGCTTTTAGAAACTTAATGCTTTAAATTAGAAAGTACTTACATGGTCTGAAACACCTAAGATTTTAGAGGTCAGAAATTTCAAAACGACAGTTCCAAACCACCAAATACCACCTTGAATTAGCTAGGAAATAAACAGAAGCCCAAGATTAAAAATATCATATTACTCATTAAAATGTTCAATCATACCTATATATGACATGGAATGATTGAATCATGTGAGGAACATTAGTAAAATACATATATTGTGAGCTATAAAAAAAAGATGCCCCTTTAGAAAATTTTAACAGCAAGGAATTGCAATTGATGACATTGCTGCAAAATACACAACAATAACAGAGCACTATATATCCTAAATCTAAAGGAAATTATAAAAAGGTATTTCTTTCCAATTTTGTTAAGAAAAGACAGTTTATTTATTTACTTATTTCCAAATATTATTACTCAGCTGAAAATGCATTTTTCAAAATACAGCTCTTTTCTCACTCTAGAAATACATGAGTCTCTCTTCAAGAAAAAAAGTCTAAAATTTGAAATTTGAAAACTGAAGTTTTCATTTTCAGAAGAGATCTGTGTACTAAAACAGACAAGGAGGCTCCTGGATCTTATTATTACAGTTGTTTAAGTTTTTGTCCAGCATTGATTGAAAATAGACTCAGGGTAGTGAGAGGAATTATAACAGCCTAAATCCAGATCTCTCCACATACCAGCCAACAAGTAGAATAACACAATGGCAAATGCAGGAAACAACAGTATGAACTTCAAACTACCCATAAATGGAAAAGTAAACAATACAGCAGAGTTGTACCTCATATTCCTGACCTAAGCCTTTGCAGAGAATGAAGGAGGACCCACAAAGTACAGAGAAAAGAAAAGAGGGAAGTGAGGGGGCAGAACTAAACTCAAGTACCCTGGGAAAGAGAAAAGCCCTACAAGACTGAGGCCAGATACTGATTGGGTAAATGGTTTGGGTCTCAGAAAAGTATTCCTTTGGGATAGAAAGGAGGATAAAAAGGGATAAAATCCTTTGGAAAAATAATGGTGAAGGGAATAGAAGTAGGAAGGGGAAATTTAATATTCAGCAGAACAATCAACCAAAAATAAAAAGATAATCAGCCATGATTGCCATCACCAGGGGGAGAGGGAGAGGGGCAAAGCGGGGGCAAGGAGATAAGAGAGGAGAGAGAGAAAAAAACAGAGAAAAAGGGAAGAAAAAAGTTATATTTACTGAAAAAAATTTCTATATTGATAGAAGTAGTTGTACTTGAACTAGAAAACACCAATCCTGTCTATAAAATAATTAGATAAAAGATACCTATATGTCTGTAAAAAAAACTTCTATAAAAAGATAAGAAAAATTTGAGTCAAATATTTTAGCTGATGAAATCCATACCACCAAACAACACAAAGCTTACAATGCAGAAACAAAACAAAACACTATGCAGAAATGACACCTGAATTAAATATCTTTAGACAATCAGGTAAGTATTCCAGAGGTATAAATATTTAAAAATCAGCTTAAATAATAAATTTAAAAACTAAAAATGAGAAAAAACAAAATTTATTAAATACAGAAGAGGAATGGAAGAAAAGGAGAATACCAGAAAATCAAGACTATTATTTTTAAAAAATGACTAAAAGATTCAAAAAAAAAATAAGAAGAACATTTTTAGGCTATAAAACAACCACAAAGAATGAAAATGAGATCAGAAAAGAGTTAAAAAGATCAGAAAAAGCTGTTGAACTGGAAGACTGGAAAAACAATGAATCACAGAAAATTATAATCCAAGAAAACTTTCCACAAATAAGACAACCTGAATGTACATTTGAAGAGGATGCAATGGGCACTAGGAAAACTGAACCTGTATGTAAACTAACTCAAGACATATTCTAATAAGTCTATTTAAAAAAAATCCTCTGAACCTCCTGGCAAGTGATTTTGGCTAGCATCAAACTGAATAAAAGAAACATACAATTCTCTCCCTTGTTTTTTATGGCATTATGTAAAAACGTGGATGTGTAACGGATGTGATTCTGCAATCAATATACGGGATAAAAATGGGAGTTCATAACCCACTTGAATCAAATGTATGAAATATGATATGTCAAGAGCTTTGTAATGTTTTGAACAACCAAAAAAAGAAAAAAAAAAGAAACATACAGCTAGGCACAGTTGTGAAGGACTGTAATCCCAGCTACTTGGAAGCTGAGGAAGGAGGATCCCATGTTGAAGGTCAGCCTCAGAAAATTAGCAAGACCCGCCTCAAAAAATAAAAAGGTCTGGGGATGGAGTTTAGGGGTAGGATACCTCTAGATACTAGATTCAAACTCCAGTACCCCATCACCACACACACCTACAGAAACATACATAGCAAAGAAACAGTGTAGCAGCATTTCAAGAAACTCAAGAAAGTTTGTGAACCAAGGACTCCATATATAACCAATCTGAATTTCAAGTATAAAAGTCAAAGAAAAATGGTTTAGCGTATGGAATAATTGCAGAAGTAATATTAACCTCCCAAGTAAGAAAGTTTAAAACAAAGGAGAATCATATAGAGAAAAAAAGTAAATATAATAAAACCCAGAGAAAATTTATAACAAAGATTTTCCAATGTGAGACCCAACTCACGCTAAAAAGAGAAAACATCCTAAAACTGATTCAGAAAGGTGAAAAACAGAAGGGTGACAGGAGTATCAGGTAAATGATGTCCCTGTTAGAAACCCAGGGAGACTTGCTCAAAGTAATGATCCGAAGAATAGTCACGACCTCAAAAACTTGTATCAATAAAAATGAAAGAGTGAAAATAAATTCACTAAATCCTTATCTAAGAATTCTAGACTAAGACATAACAAAATAAACCAAAAGAAAGCATGAGAGGAAATTCTCATGAATAGAAATCATATTATCCACATGAGAATACGTTGTTCTTTATTTCTTACTAATATTCAAAGTTTCTTTCTCTCATCATTTCCTTTCTGTTTCAACAATTTCAATTAAGCATTCTGCAACAGTTTCTCTGTGAGTACCAAATTCTCTTTGTTTTCCTTGATCTGAGAATGTCTTCATTTCTGCTTTGTTCCTGGGGAAGGACACCTTTAACTCTAAGTACTAGTTGACATTTCTATCAGCTCTTCACAAATGCTGTGCTACCTCCTGGCTTCCACGGATTCAGGTGAGTCCACTGTAATTCAGACGGGTTTGCCCTTTAGCTAATCTGCCATTTCTTTCTACTTGTGCCTTCAGGAATTTTTCTTTGTGTTAAGTTTTCAGAAATTTAATAATGATGTATCATGGTGTGAGTTTCATTGGGTTTATCCCATGTGGGATTTGCTCAGTTTCTTGATTCTATAAGTTTGTCTTTTGCCAAATTTGGGAAGTTTTCAAGCATTGCTTCTTCAAATACTCTTCAGTCCCTCTCTTTTCCCATTTTTGCCACAATTTTGATGATATAAATATTAGGTCTTTTTTGCTCCCCCAACAGATCCCTGAGGTTCTGACATTTTCTTCCACTTAGCTTGGGTAATTTCTACTGCTTTATCTTCAAGTGTACTGATTGCCTCCTATCATGTTTGCTCTGCTATCAAGCCTATTCACTGAGTTGTTAAAATTTGTTATTGTATTTTTCAGGACTATAATTCCCCAGCTGTGACTTTCAATTTAAAAAAGAAAGTTTTTATTTTTTGGTGATAGTTTCTAATCTTTTCATTTGTTTCTAGAGTATTCAAAATTTCTCAATGAAGTATTTTTTTATGATGACTACTTTAAAATCCTTATCAAATAATCCCCAGCATCCATTATCCAAACTCCCTCCCTTTCTTTTCCTCCCCGCTCCCCACCTCTAGTGATCACTAATATATGTTTCAACCCACTGTTTTTTAACATCCACATGAGACAGAACATGCAGTTTTGTCTTTTCTGGGTCTGATTTCTTTCACTGAACATAGTTGTCCTCCAATTACATCCATTTTGCTGTAGATGATAGGCTGTATAATATTCCATTGTGTATGCATACCACATTTGCTTTGTCCATTCATCCACTTATAGCATAGATGCTATTGAAGATAGTGCAGCAATAAACATGAGCATGCAGGTGTCTCTGTGATATGCTGATACCATTTCCTTTGGATATATAACCAGAAATGAAATAGCTGGATAGAATAAATTCTAGTGTTCTATGGTACTGGAGGGTGACTACAATTCACTATAACCTATCATATATTTTGTTGATAACTATGAGAGAGGAGGATGAAGGCTCCCAACACAATGTAAAGGTAAGGAGATTGAAATGTCAATTGCTTTGATTTTATCAGTACATATAATGTGCATGAATTGAAATACCATAAAAATGTACAATAATTAGTAACAAGTAATATACAGATTTCAAAAACCACATAATTCTATTCATCTCAATGTTGACATATGTTGTTCCCTCTCATTCAACATATTATTTTTCTTATTCTTGCTATAATAAGTAGCTTTCTATTGTGTCTGGTTCATTCTGGGTATTGCATTAGAGACTTTGGGTCCTATTTTAATATTCTATATGAGCAGATAGTCACCTTGTTTAAGTTTATCATGCAAGTTCCAACCTTCTTTTGTATACTATTGTAACAATGCCAGTTTGGTTTTCAGAGTCTTTGCAGTGCTATTCTGGAAGGTTTAATTCACCTGATGCCCTTAAAGGCTTCATTTCAGTCCCCACTCATGCTGTCCATAGGGAAGAATGTACCTCTCCAGCACTCTAGCCATTAGGTGGAGAGTTGGAGACACCAGGTTTGTGGGGCGCAAAGAGCTCTTTCTTGGCTGGTCTAGTGTTAATATTGCTCCTGTTCAATCCCTGCTGGTGCCACTGAAGCTGTCCACTGACACTGGAGTATGAGAAATGGTAGATACCAGACCCATGGGATGGAGAGAATTTCCCTGTGTCTACTATGAGAATACCTTCCTCTATCTCTGTCTCCCAGTGCTGATAATGTTGCTGCTCCATCTTTGCCACTCTCCTGATGAAGAAAACAATTACCAAAGCAGATGACTGCTACTTAGTAAAAGTCATAAAGATGTTGGGCTCAAGACTGTCTTCTGCCACTGCACTGAGTTTCAAGAGATGACCTGTTGTGTTTTTGCCTATTTATAATGCTGGACTAGCAATGGAAGTATGGTTATAAAATCATGAAATCATTCACATACACACAAATGTATACATGCACATACATACATGTACATAGCTAAAGGGCCTAGAAGCAAGAACACACTGGTATTAATGAGAATACCTACCACTCAGGTCTTGAGTTCTAAATACCCTTCTCCACTAAAAGGAATCAGGATTGATTCTAGGGTTGGGGCAAGAAAAATACAAGATGAGCCTGGTGCATCTTGTTGAGTCAGAATGTAAGCAAGCATCCAAAGACTTGTGGAGGCAGGTCAAAGGGATAAAAGATCCAGCTTGAAACCATCTATGATGGCACAATGGTATTTGTACATAATGTGAATTTTCCCTATATAAATAACAAATTATTCCAGCATCATTCATTGAAAATTGACCAGCAAGTCAATCTTATTGAAATTCCTTGGAATCTAAACATTACCTGGGAAGAAGTGAGATTATAAAGAGTTTGTCTATGCATAAACATTGTTTATTTTTCTATTTAGTGGGATATTCTTTATATCTTAAAAATTTAAACATAAGTTTCACCATGTAAATATTGTCGTATTTTGTTAGCTTTAATCAAACACTATATATTTTTCTTTCTGATATGTAAAGCATATTTTCAAAACTATGTTTTCTGTTTGTTGCCAACTTTTCTATACTCAGACTTTTGTTTCTTTGATAAGGAGTTTATAGCTTAGTTAATTCTTATTGTTCCAAATCTATTGCTGAAAATGTAGTCGAAATGTAATTTAAGTAAAAAAAAATTTCCTTTAAGTACAGCTTTGCAGAATTCCTTAAATGACTAAGGGCATTGTTTTACTTGTTATTTTTCAATAGTTTATAATTAAATTTTTGATTTTCTTTTGAGTTATCAAATTGCCTAATTTTTCTGAAGTGAAAAATATCATATGTTAGAAGTCCCATGTCATCCAACAACTTAGTGATCAAATCTTTCTACTTTTTCAACAAAAGTGATTTTAAAAAATGCCTCCAGAAAGCACAAACAGGCAACTCTTTCCATTTCCTTCTTTTGAATTCTGTGGAAAAATCTATTTCCTCATCTTAATATAACTTTTCTAGTTTCACTTTTTCAATATATAATGTGTAAACATTTAACTCTTCAATATTGAAGGTTTTTTAAAAATAGAAATACATTAAAGACCCAGAGAAAAAGAATAAATGACATCTGAAGATGATTTTCTACCTTTGAAAGTAGCTATTGAGATTAAAGAAACTGTGTTTAAAAAAAAAAAAACTGAAACTTACCCAAAAGTTGAGTTCAGAAACTCCCAATTTTTGGATTTGATTTTTCTTTAAAATTATTGCCTAAAATACACATAACAGGAAATGAAAATAAAATTAACAATTATATTTTATATGAAAGGAACCTTTCAAAAACTACAAAGCCAGAACTCTTCCATCTCAACTATTACCAGCCATTTTCCTAATTAATTGTTGACTTTTCAAATTTTGGACGTGACATAGCTAAGTGCTTTGTGTGCTAAAATTAGCCTCTTAAGTTGATTTCTCAAATAGTTATGATGGACTTTTTCTGTAGGGTTTAAACACCTAAAAAGGTATGGACACCACCATTTTGTAATGCTAAAAAGTATGAGACAATGTTGAAAACAGCAAGAATACATTTTGTGGGGAAGGAGAAAGTGAAAGGATTCATTACCATGAGGAAAAAAAAGGTGTAGGAAGCAGAAATGTTAAAATCTATAAACAATCTCATAATCATCTGCACACGGCAAAGTGCTATATTTTGGCAATACTATGGATGGTATCATATTTGATCAGTGTCGAAATGGAAAGTAGCAGAGACTATTCCAGATTCTGGCTTATTTATTTTTGTGGAAATTACACAAGTTGAATCATGAAATTTATTTTGATATGTGACTAAGAACTTTGATACTCTTTCTGTATATAATTTGATATACTATGTATATCAAAAGTGTGCCTAAAAGTAATACAACTGACCATGGAACCATTATTCCAAACCTATCCACATGAATATCATTCTGTGAGAGTTAAGTTAGGTGAGGAGATGCGATATACTTATCCTAATTATGTTGTCACTGTTCAAGGAAATAAAATCAGTCTCTCTCCAAATTTTTACCTCCCTTATTATGTTTTACTCATAAATAAATTGTGTTAGTTAACACACAAAAAAAAACCCTATATGCATACCTACATTAGAAAACATGGAGAAAAAGAAACAAGTGAAGATATTTGCTATATTAATGAAGGTTAATTTCAAATACTTTACCCAATGAGATAGTTTTTGATATTCACATTGCAATAATTTAAAATCTTTAAAAATATTTTATATCTGACCTAAAATATGAGATCATTCAGCACCTCAAAAGTATTTTAGAATACAGAAAGAATTCGTGTATATCAGTCTTGGAACAGAAAGTGGCAATGGGGCTGATTAAGAAAATTTTTTTTTTTTTACAAAATCTATACTTCAGTCATCACTCTACCCTATTATGCTGTGTAACCTCCAGTTAGTTATTTCTCAGATTATTCATCCTTATAATAAAAAATAATTAACATATTTCATTCAGAAATCTTTCTAGATCTAAAATACTTCAACCCAAATAATACTTCATCCATTTCAATGATAGAGGAATATAATAGAATATATGACTATCTCCTTTGTATACAAAGCTAATATATTAACAAATACAATTTATATATGTGAAATATTAGAAAAATTATAACTTTTACTTATTTTTTGTGGAAATTACACAAGTTGAATCATGAAATTTATTTTGATATGTGACTAAGAACTTTGATACTCTTTCTGAAGTTACTCCATTCTAAAATAACTGTTTATATCTCTTATTTTTAATTAATGGCAGATTTTTTTCATTTCATCAATATTCACAACAAAATTTAAAACTCTGTTATTCTGTTTATTTCAAAAGCTTATTTGACTCCAAAGAACCAAGAAATCTTCTATGATATTAAAAAGTGTATGAAAAAGTCTAACTCAATTTGTATTTTAAGTAATATAAAATCTGTGCTTGTGAAAAAGGAATTATGATTGCAAAATAGCAACAAATATCTCAAACTGATTACTTATCTACTCAAAATGTCCTTTCAAATTAAATTTCTTAATGATAGTGATTCTAAGTCAAGTGGCTTCAAATATGTAGCTAAATGATAAGAGAACGTTGATTCTCTACAGACTGTATTGTTATTTATAAATTTATAATATTGTGTTTTGTATGATCTAATATCTTTTAAGAAAACTTCAACATAGAAAATAACTTTTTATTATTCATTCATTTATATAGCAAATAGTTTTAGAGAACCTGTGATGTTTCAAACATTAATCTATTTCTGAAAGTACAAATATAAATAAACATGAATAAAGCCTTCATGATAAGCCCCACATACAGGTCAGCAGGAGAAGCAGATAAACACAATAGCAAACATAATGCAGTATTCTCAGAGTATTATGAGAATGGGGTACTTGGAAAATTGTATAGCATTCAGAAGAGAATAAAATCTATTACAATTCTTTTCTTAATAGCAAAAATATAATTTAAAAAGTTCATGCTTCAAAATATCATATCTAAAATTAATGTATATCCATTTAAGATAAATTTGCTTTATTTATTTTTGGAATTTGACAATTTAATTCTAAAAATGAATAAATTTAAATTTTCCATGGAAAAAAATCAGTCTTATTACTTCATAATACTTTTTAAAGTATTTATCTGTATACTGCTTAAAACAGGGAAACTATACGATACTGTATTTCAAGGATGAGATACAGAAAAAGTTTTTACTTGGGAAAAAGTTTTTCAAGTTAAAAGATAATGAGAAAGGGGCCATATTTATTCTCCTATGCTTACATTAGACAGAAAAGCTTGCTATTTGATGGATGAAAAAAAGAAAACTCATGAGCTTAACAACACTTACCCATGTCATTAACAAAGATGAAGAATAATAAGAAGATAAGTACATTGGATTTCCAAACATCAAAATAAAACAAAGGAAAAGTGAAATCTGAAAAATGAAAAAACAAACTCATGTTTTATAGTTATTACATGTAGAGTATAATTTAAACTTCAGAAGCAAACAGCCACTTCTAATATGCAAATTTTGTTTGTATAAAGAAAATTAATAGTTCTTGGCCCAATTATAATAGAATTTTAAGTTACTATAAGGTTCTAAGTATTAAACTTCAAGATCATAAAATCTACACAGAATAATTTTTTTTCTGTATCTACTACTTGGATAAAGGAAAAATTAACTCTTATTTCTATTGCTTCAATAATAGAATAACATAATAAAAATATTTAAACTATTAGTTTATTATTTTAGCAAATATTAGTTTTCCTAATCTTATTTTGATTACTACATAATTTGCATCACTTATGAAGCTTTATTCTTGTTTTGTTTTAAAGGAAAATACATTTGTGAACTAAGATAAAAACCAAAGTTCAACAACATAAAATTTCAATTGCAGAGTGTCATATTTATGCAAAGTTCAAAAATCTCAGGTATTAGAGAAAGACAATTGCAAAAGTAGTGACAATAATAAATAAAACAAAAATTTTAAAAATTTTTAAAGTTTTAGAAAGCACAACACATCTACAGTTTAGTTGAAAGTATAATCAACTATAATACAGTTCAGTTTTCCTTCTAGAGCCATTGACATCATTATGTATTAATACTATCAAAAGGAAGTATCCCATAAAACAGAATTATTTATGTTTTATAAACTCAGAAAGCTTATTTTAATATTTGACTTATGAATATTTAAAATATTACCATATTCATATAAATGATCTTCCGAAATTTGCTTGGCTCAATGTACCCCACAACGTACATGGGAAATAATGAGGCTATCTGAAAAAAATATATAAAATGCAAAAGTGAAAAAATTATAATAAATAAATACTTCACTGTTGATAGGCAAAGTAAATATAAGAGGGAGAGCTATTTCTGATAACAATAGGCAAAGTAATTTGAACCACTTTCAACTAAGAAGTAGAATAGCTAAGAAAAAATATAAATATATATATATGCATATATATGTAAAAATATAAAAAAGTATATAAGTATGAAAACCATAGATTATTAACAAGGCAAATTAGAAATTAGCAAAATAAAACCAGGAAAAAAGATATAAATCTATAGTAATGAGCATGACATTTTGGATTCCTTTTCTCTCAGTTCCAACAGAGGCAGATGCTTCTAGCTGAGAGGCAGCTGAGAGATCAGTAAGCAGAGCAGGCATTTCAGGTAGATAGGACAGTAGGGTACACCAAGGAAGGAATGCTTGGTAGGCTCCCAGACTTTGGTCTAAGAGTGAACCAAAAATCAAGTAGCCCTCAGAAAGACTGAAACCCACATTTGCATCATCTCAATCTAATTGTATGAAGATATTTCAGGATTGTTAGTGCTTTTCTTTACCTGCTGGAAGCAAACTTAATCTTGTCTGGAGAAAGTTCATATCAACTTAGCCTTAATTTAACTCTAAGCCATATCAAATAATTGCCAAGCGTAAGAGGAGATAAGACAGTATCACAAAAACTATAAAAACAGGTTGCAAAGGATCTAGATAAGGCATCAGTAAACTTCTCATGTAAAAAGCCAAATAGTAAACATGTGATGCTTTATGGGGCACATATGGACCCTGTTGAATAGACTTCTTTTCTTTTTTAATATTTTTTTCAGCAATACTTTAGAAATATAAAAACAATTCTTAGCTTGCGAATCACTCAAAAACATGTCTAGCATCATCAAACATAAATTTAAATTATGCTTGACATGTTCAAGGAAATAATAGGGACTGAATATTCTAAGACAGCACAAGTCTTTAAAAAAAATGGGGGAAATCAAATTGGCTGAGCACCATGGTATACACTCATAATCAGCTACTCAGGTGGCTAAGGCAGTAAGATCACAAGTTCAAGGTCAGACTGGGCAAATTAACCCTGTCTAAAAATAAAAATAAAAAATGTCTGTGATGTAGCTCAGAGAGAGAGCATGCGTGGGTTCAATCTGCAGTACCATAAAAAAAGGAAGCCAAATGAAATTTTAAAACGATATTAAAATAATCAATATTAAGACATTAACAAATGAGTTTAAAAACAGGATAAACACAGCCAAACAAAAAACTGGGTGAACTAGAAGATAGGTCAGAAGAAAATATCTGGAAGGAAGCACAAAATGATAAAAGTACAAGAAATTTATCTGAACACAAGAATAAAGATCAGTTATGTTAGACTTTACATCTTAGAGGAGGAAATTAGGTAGAAGCTATATTTAAAGGAATTATAGCAAGGAGCTTCCCCCAAATTTATAGGCAATATCAAGCAATGATTTGTGAAGTATCACAAATTCCCAAGGAAGAATAAAAACAAAAACAATACAAAACAAACCTCCACAAAATCCTGAGGACATAGGCATATCATTTTAAAAGCTGCACAAGAACAATAGCAAAGAGAAAACTCGTAAGAGCAACTGGAAATTAACATACTATAAAGCTATACTATAAATCAAGATTGAATATCAAATTGATCGATGGAACAAAATACAGAGTCTAGAAATAAACACACACAAAGGCAGGTAGCTAAACTTTGAGGAGAAAAGATAGTCTTTTCAGCAAATGGTACTGGAATAACTGTACATTCAAATGCAAAGAAAAGGATTCTAGATAGGGACCTTACATCAAAAAATTAGCTTAAAGTGGATTTTAAACCTGAAGGTATGAATCAAAACTATAAAACTGAAGATACGGGAGAAAATTTAGGTGGACCTTGGGTTTGATGATGAGTTTTTAAATATAACACCAAAGCCAATATCCCATGAAAGAAAAAATTGTAAACTGAATTTCATTAAGCTAAAAACTTCTGCTCTACAAAAGACACTATTAAGAAAATTAAATAATAAGCTAGAGACAGAGAAAATCTTTGCGAAACATATACAATTCAAATAGCAGAATTCCAAAATACACAAAGAACTCCCAAAACTAAGCAAGAAAACAAACAACCTAATTAAAAATGGGCAAAACACCTTTTGAAGAAACACCTCACCAGAAAACAAGGTAAATAAGCACATATAAAGATACTCAACATTGTATGCCATTAGAGAATTGAAATTCAAACAATAAAGAGATATCACTGTTGCTTTAATCAGCTTGTGCATTGCTGTGACCAATATATATGACAAGAACAATTTAAAGGAAGAAAAGTTTATTTTGGAGCTCCTAGTTGTAGAAGTCTCAGTTCAGACAGTCAACTCCATAGCTCTGGGACCAAGGTGAGGCAGAACATCATGGAGGAAGGACATTCAGGAGGAAAACAGCTTGGGACCTGGCAACCAGGAAGCAGAAACAGAGCTCTGCTCACCAGAGACAAAATACAAACCCTAAAGGCAAACCCCCAGTGACCTACTGCCTCCAGCCACACCCTACAGTTACCACCAAGTTAATCCATATCAGTGAATTAATCCAAGGTAGGTTACACTTCTCATAATCTAATCACTTTACCTTTGAAAATTCTTACACATTTGTGAGCCTTTTTAAAAAATGTTTTTAGTTGGAGATGGACACAATACTTTTATTTATCTATTTTTTCTGTGGGTACTGGGGATTGAACCCAGTAGCCTCACACATGCTAGGCAAGCGCTCTATCACTGAGGTACACCCAAGTCCCCACACGAGCTTTTTGGGGGCACCTTATACCTAAACCATAACAAATGATTAGGACAGAATGGCTAATATCCCAAAACTTATAGAATCAGCAATTTCTTACAAAGTTAAACATAACCTTACCCCACAATCCAGTAATTGCTTGCCTGGATACATACCCAACATTTGAAAACTTATGTCCACTCAAAAACCTGAACACAAATGTTTATGATAGCTTTATTCATAATCACCAAAGCCTAGAAGCAACCATAATGTCCTTCAATAGGTGAATGGATAAACCAATTATGGTACAATTATATATTTAAATATTATTCGGCAATAAAAATGAGCAATCAAGCCATGAAAAGACATAGAGGAATCTTAAAGGCATATTGCTAAGTAAAATAAGCCAGTATGAAAAGACTACATAATGTATAATTCCAATCATATGACTTATAAAAAAGTAAAATTATACAGTTAAAGTCATTGCCAGGTGTTGTAGATAGGGCTGTAGGGTTGAATAAGTGAAGCACGAGGAATTTTTTTAGAATGTTGAAAATATTTTATATATTTGTTATAGTTTGAATGTAATGTGTCCCCCAAAAGCTCATGCGTGAGACAACACAAGAGGGTTTAGAGGTCAAATAATTGGGTTACGAAAGCCAAACGAATGAGTTTCCTGATGAGTTTAATTGAGTGGTAACTGAAGGTGGGTAAGGTGTGGCTGGAGGAGGTGGGTCATTGGGTGGCATACTTTTGGGGTATATATTTTGTATCTGGCAAGTGTATCTTGTACCTCTCTCCATGTTGTGATCAACATGTGGGCAACTTCCCTCTGCTATACTCTTCTGCCATGATGTTCTGCCTCACCTTGAGCCCTGAGGAATGGAGCTAGCTGTCTGTGGACTACGACCTCTGAAACCATGAACCCCAAATAAACTTTTCCTCCTCCAAAATTGTTGATGTCAGGTCTTTTAGTCACAGCAGTGAAAAATATAACTAAAACAATACTATAATGGTGGATACATATCATTACGCATTTGTCAAATCTCATAGAACTGTATAATGGAGAAAGAGAACCTTAATATAAATTGTGACCTTTAGTAATAAAATACAAATTTTAGTCTATTAGTTCTAACTAATGTACTATATTAATGCAAGATGCTAATTATAGGGGATATATCATTATAGAATATAATGATATATCCCCTATAATTATAGAATATAATATATGGTTGTGTGGGGTGGGATGAAGTAGGTATGAGGTGGGAAGACTGAGAATGCCCTCAAAAACAAGATTTATAACTAACCTCTTAACAGAAATGAATCAGAAGATAATGGGATGATATTTTCACAACACTGAGAAAATAAATTTTAAAAATTCCCAACCTTGAGTTCTATACCAGAGATAATTACCTTTAAGAAAGAAGGCAAATTGAACATTCTCATACAAGAATGCAAAAACTGTCACCAACAGGTTCACACTAAAGGAAAATACTAATGAGTGCTCTTTGGACAGCAAAAAGATCCTCTATGGAAGCTTGGAGACAGAAAGCATTCAAGAGGGAAATAAACACGTGAAAAATCTACTTAATCTTATAAAAGTTAATTATATAAAAAAATACAGATGCTATGAGGTTTAAAAATAACTAAGTATGTGTGTATACATGTAAACACATATAGCATACATATATGCATATATATATGCAAATATACACAGACATACACACATAGCAAAAAACAAATGGCATTTAATCCAGAAGGAAAATAAATTGATTTAAAGTGTTTTAAGGTGCTTGTATTATTTGGGAAGAAGTGATAGTATTAATTTATACTGTAACTCAAAAATAAATGCTTTAATTTCTAAGGTCATCTTTAAAAGAGTGAAAAATAGTATCACTAAACGAATAAACACAGTAGGAATGTGTTTATTCGTTTAGTCATTCAGCTGGCCAGATGGGAAAGAGGTGTATAAATATCACATAGCAAATGGGGCAAATACAAAGAAACTGCCTTAGAAAGATGATAAAATTAATTATCAATAATTACATCATCATCAATGGACTGAATAACACAATTAAAGTATTATTTAACTAGATTTTTAAAAAACGAATTACAGCTTATAAAACACCTAAAATGTAAAGATGCAGAAAAATTTGAACATAAAAAAATGGTGAAAGATCAATATAAACACTAAAAGAAAGGTGATATGGTTCTATTATAATAGAAATATAAGCTTTAAGGCAAAAATACCATTACCAATAAATAGGCACTTTATTGAAAGTAATATATGATAATTATGTACATAATAATAATGTATCAAAATGTTTAACACTTTACAGAACTAAAAGAGATATAGACAAATCTACCATAGGATTTTAACACACACCCCCTCTATTAATTGAAATAAGCATACAAAAATCATGCTAGAATATTTTAATAATTAACAAAATTAACTAGAACTATACATTTAAGTTTAAAATACACCATTTCTTAAATGCATGAGAAATAGAAATTCCTGGGGACAAGTCTAAGAAAAAAAAACTATGAAGCATTATTGAAAGAAACTGAATAAGAAATTAAATAAGTGAAAGTGTATATCATGTTGTTTGTTTGAAGACACATCATTTAAGAATTTTGAATTTTTTATTTAATAAAGTGATACTTTTCTTCAGCCTAAAGGAAAGGAAAACATATAGAATCCCCTGAGATTTCACCTAAAAAGCAGCAGCCCAGAAAGCAGGTTTTAAGGGGCATTGGGACAAAGTTGCTTTCTGTTTGCTTGCTGTTTGAATACAGTTTATTTGATAAAATAGTTGTAGGTGTCAATAGAAAGAGCAATAGAAAGATCAACCTGGTGAGGAAAAAATTTACTAATTCTGAAAAATGTAACACATAGATTCCTATGTAGGAAAGCAACTAAGTAATAGATTAATTAGTTTTTTACAAGTATATGTAATCTTCAAATCATTATAAATTTGTAGAGAGGGAGGTTGATATTTTTAATAAGAAAAGCTGCATCTACTTCCAGCAGAAGGAACATCAAATCCTCTCAGGGATGGGGATATTTTGGTGGCTTCTTTCAGTTATTATAGATCAAACAGGTACACACTGTTTTTTTTTTGAGCAGAAGGTTTCCTTCACTTAAAAAAGACTATCATGACTGAGACTCTTATGTGTGAGATTTGAAGTTCAATGAAGAGGGAGGAACTGGGAAACATGTCATATAGGAACCAGGAGTTTCCCCAAGTGGAAACCTTTTTCTGAAATATACAAATATTTGAACATCTCTGAAAACCTAGTGCAATCTTAACTTAGTTAAGCTAGCAAGATAGAACCCCAAGAACTTGTAAAACACACAAAGAGTATGGGCTGGAAGACTCTGAACTTATGAGCTCACTTAACACTAAAGTCCCAGATCCTATCCTAGGCAAAGGCTAGTTCTACAAAGGGCGTGTGGGTGATGCTGAACCACCTTTGACTTGACTCAGATATTTTAGCAATTCCAGTGTGCTATGAGACAGAATGGCTGCATTCCCCTTGAAAAGAGTTGGGCCATTCACAAGGGTAAACAGGGAATCCTGGTCCATTTTATTATGAAGCACCCAGAATATATGGCTGTTCCAAAGCTTTTTGTCTTTAAGAAGTTACATTGAGTTTTTTTCTTTCCATGCCCACCAACGGGTCTTCTTCAAATCACTAGGAAAGCTTTAGGACAGAAAATTTAACTTGCCAGACATTTCTCTTTAGAGAAAGAACTCACAGAAGTCCAAACAGCAGCCTTACCCCCAGGTTACATCTCAGAAGCAAAGAATGAGATACACATTAGGTAGATGTAGGAGCCACCTGGCCTACAGGAGCCTCCAAAAGGGAAATGCCATTAAAAGAGCCTCCTTACTCAAGAAAGCTCAGGTAGTCTTTGTTCACTTAAGATTCTTCCCAACTTAGTGCAATTAGGCAGTCATCAAACAATGTGCCTAGTAACATCATGCTAGAAAGTTCTCATGCAGAAGAGGAAAGTGCTTTGTAACAGCAGTGTGGTGGCATCTGCCATAGTACACAGAATCCCTGATAGTGACGAATCCTCCAGATTCAAGCAGCCGAATTTCTGGGCCAGGAGTAAGGATAGAACATCTACTATTGATCCTTGCCTACATAAATGGTTGACAATAGAAGGAGTAACTTCAAAGAGAGCAGTAGACATTCTTGTTTTAAACAAGATGGGGTCATGAAGTCACATTTAAATATTCAAAAAGATGTGACCTAATTTTGTACTCCAAAGAATCAGCTATATAGTGAGTGAAAATGAAATTGAAAACTAGTTTTGTATAAAATATCAACACTCTCTTCTTTGAAAATAATTCACATTTCTATCATTTCTGATTTTACAGTTTCTTTTCTGCAACTATTCCTTTCTCTTTCCTTAGTCATAACAATCACTCCTACATGCCTGGAATTCCCCAATAAAATAATATAATATAGAATACTTAGTTGCCAGAACTAAATCACAGTTTCTCAGTGTCTTAGAATGATAACATCTATGGTCTTACCATTCTCAATATTCTACATCTATATGATTGTCTTTCATAACATTTTCCTTTGAAAAAAGGAAACTTTTAATCCATAACTCTCATTTCTCAGACAATGTGGGTTGGAGACATAAACTAATTTTAGCCTTAATCTAAGAAAAACACAATAGAGAAGAATATTTCCAGAAAAACAAAAGAATTATTTCATTAGCATGAACAAACAAAACTCTACACATTAATTAAAAAAATAAAAGCCTCAGATATCCTGAGTGCATAGGAAAACACTAAGGGATTCAAACCTACCCAAAGAGTTTCTTAAAAAGTTTCATCGTAGAGGATAGGAAAGGTAGCAGAATACAACAGTCACTAATATGCCATTATGTAAAAATGTGAGTATGTAACAGAAGTGATTCTTCAATCTGTATTTGGGGTAAAAATGGGAGTTCAAAACCCAATTGAGTCAAATGTATGAAAGATGATATATCATGAGCTTTGTAATGTTTTGAACAATCAATAAAAAAAAAGTTTCATCAGTCCCACTGGATTAATGAATTTGCTGACAATGAAATGTTGCTTATTAAGAATATATTCCATTATGTTGGCATGTGCAAAAAAATGAAAACCAGAGGGTAATTTCTGTGTAAGGAAGTATAGCAGTGGAAATACTTGAAACATTCTTTAAACATG